TCTATGACAGTATGTATCATGAAACTATGTAAGTGATTAGTACTCGCCTTAAGCTCTAGAGACATTGTTGCTAAACGAGAAGTTAGGGCTTAGATAGATGACTGATCTTTGCTACATTTTGAAGTAGTTAAGCAACATTTCATTAGGTGAGGATAAAGCAAGGGTGTTTGAATCTTTTTGGGAAATACTGAAATATCCACTCTGTTACTTTCTCATTGTTAGTCTTTTGTTGATTCTTTTGGAAGATAATTGAAGGCCTTTCTTGGTATAATCTTAACTCACATTGGAATAATGCACCATTATGTGACAATGCTCTGTGACTGTGTAATCTAGTATGAACGGGGAAAAGCCCATATAAAATCTAAGTGGGGTTCCATCACTAAACCAATTGGTGGAAGGAGTAGCCCATTAGACTTATAAAGTGGGTCTATTTTCCATGTGTGAACGATGTGGGACAACTCACAAGTGATATTCTAATATATTAGTAACCACAATTTCTCATATAAGAGTAGAGGCCATAGAGAACAAAAATCATTCACTTGTTGGCAAGAACCATCCTCAACTTCTTTTGTTGTTTATTATTTCATTATTGAGCTGTAATGTGTAATCTCTAATACATTCAAGTGCTTTTATTTGTTTGTTTGTATTTTGCTTATCTCAAGCGAAAGCCCACAATTCTTATTCATATCATAATAGACCTTGTTGTGGCTATGAATTCCAGATACTGAAGAACACGACTACTAGCTTGCAAGAGGGGAGAAAGTAGTTCTGTTCTAGATGTGACATATGAGATTGATCATCTTTTTTTATTCTATATGTCATGTTTCAAATTTTTGCTAGTTGAAGCTGTATGCGGTATTTATGTATCAACGTAATGGTTGAAAAGCATTTCATAAGGGTTATTGTAGAATTCAGAAATTGGGGCGGGTTTGCGTATGATTACTTGACATCTTTAACGTAAGATCAGAAGATGACTTGAATGATCATGCTTATAAGGCCTTTTTTTTTTTTTTGAACTCCACTTATCTGGAAATGCAAAAATAACTTACTCCAGTAAGCTAGCTACTTATAGCAATCATAAAGTTTGCTTTTTTAGTTTGCAGCAATTAATAATGGTGGTGAATTCATTGTGGAAACTATAGGAAGTTCGAATCATTGGTTGACTTTGTGATGTTAAAGTCGTTTAGATTTTTGTGCTTGTGGGAAAACGATATGAAAATTGAAAGAGTGATTGATCACATGTCCCTTACAAATAAATGTGTATTAATGCAATTGAGATAACACTATAAAAACTAAAATTGGTTTGAATTTGTTAAAATATTGTTGTGCGATATTTGTAATGTATTAGGCAAGTTTCTACGGATTGTGGTATTTCATAATTTTGAATCTCATTTACTATTCACCGTCTTCCCTATTACTACTTACCGCCCTCCTTGGACAATTTTACTCCTGACATTTTTTTTCAAAAAGTAAAAAAAAAAAAATTGTCCGGCCGGCGAAACCGGACGGCTTTTAGCCCGTCCGGCCATCGGAACCGAACGGTTCAAAAGGCGTCCGGCCGGCCAGTTTGGACGGCATAAAAGTCGTCCGAAAAGTTCGTCCGG